TCCTGGTGTTCACTCTCCTCCCAGTCTCCATCTTGCATGTTTATGTTTTGTTTTGAGTGTAATAATTGTGAATTTTCTACTCAATGTTTTTCTTAGCAGTTAAGAGGGAAAATTAGTCTTCTTAAGCCTAGTTGGTATTCCCAAGGTTCAACAGCAGAGCGCACTCTTTCACAATGAAGATCTCTACATAAGAAGCTTCTATTAACAAAGGCCAACAGCTACTCAGACCCTGACCCCGAATGTAGAAGGAACTTATGTGCTTTATCATTCAATCCTATAGCTCTAAAAGGTTTTCCAGCATCAGAGGAAGACTCCCATAATGGGCTTGTTGGTCCAACAGGGTAGCAGACTAGAGTCTAAAAGCCTTCCAGAAATAACTCCACCAGTTTTGTGGCCAGAATCATAGTGCAAGCAAAAGGAAAATTCAGCCAGGTACCCTAAGCCACAAAGCAGGAAGTACATTGAAACCCCTGACATGCATGCTTAAATGTTCTTGTGCTGAGCACCCTCAGCTTCCAGTCCAGTCAGTAGGTTTTGAGAGCATTGTTCATCTCTCAGGATTGCTCCAAGCATGAGGTAATTCAGAGTTAAGCCTCCAACATCACCTTTAACTGAGTTGCTCACACCTCAGAATCTGTACATCAGAAGATAAAAGAAGAGCCCTGGGGATTTGGAACCTGTTAGAAATTAGATATGCTTTTTGTTTTATGGCACCTGGTGTTTAGCTTTAGATGCATTCTTAATCAAATTGGGCTAGTTAATTAACACCATTTCTTGTTTGGTATAGGTATACCCTTAGCTAATCCAATTCAATTAAGAAAGAGAGATTCCTGCTCCTCCTATGCACCCAGCTGGTGCTGCTTGGTTCACAGGAATTTTAATGTATCATTAAAACTCTCTTAAAAGCATGTGCCATCTTTGAAATGACAGGATTTTTTTACTTTCCAAGTTAGCCTGAATGAGTGGATTGGGCTAGGCAGGGTTCTTCCACACAGGATATCTTACCACCCAAGTAGCTGTGAGGCAAGACAGGGAAATTCAAATAAAAATACTTTCTTATGAAAATATGAGAGTGGGTAGGTCAGCTAGGGCTAGGACTTCATTGATTTCAGGTTTATTATATATGCTTAAGTTTGCAGTCTCATCGTAATTCCTACTGTGTGCAGACCTGCAGTTATTAGAAGAGACGCTAGTAGGATGAACAAGGGAATACAATGACAATAATGTATGTGGGAAGATTGAGGATTTTGAAAAGGGGGGTACAGGTGGTATGATGCATTATCACATGTATAACACACATTTTTCTCCAGTTAAAGAGAAACTAGAATGCTAGGGGCCCAGTGCTATGTGATTTAGTTTAACATCAAAGCAAAAACAAATGTAACTTTACTGGAATGTGCACTAATTTGCTAGATATTAATTAAAAACAACACAACAAACTAGGCAAAAATAGGCAAAGGATATTGTTTTATTTGTCCTGGAGTCATTAGAATTAGAGGTGCATCTCTTCTTCATATCTGTAAAACAAAGTCTAGTCTTCATGACTGTCTTCAGTGTGTCCAACACTTTGCTGTCAGTCATTTCCACACCTGAGTTAGTATTAATACACCTAAGTTCAGGTTTTTAGCTACAGCTAAAAATGGTTTGCAGGCCTGTGAAATAGACGAGAGACATTACCAGACAGTAACAGTGTAGAAGAAAGGATAGTCTGAAGAGTGGAACATCAAGATTGTTAAAAAGGATAAAGGATCATTAACACCTGTAGAGAGGAGAGAGATGAGCAGGAATCAGGGAGATGATAATGAGTCATGAAGTCAGTTGACTCTCTTGGCACTGCCTGAATAGAAATGTTGCTGTCACTCCCAGGCAGTTGGTTTTAAAGTTTGGGTAGAACCGGGATCAAAGAGGGGTGCAGCTGCACCACCGCACCTCCCTGGATCTGCCTCTGATAGTCTGCATGTGCTATGCTATACTAAGAATTATTGATCTTGAAAAATGACTTAGCTCTAACCAGTTCCCTGCCTTTGTATAACTGTACATTGTAGTTTGTATTTTTGCATCAAGATTCAGCAACTCACAGTGCATCTGGAGAAGAATGCAAATGAGCTGTCTTCAAAAGCATTACATCCTTTGTTTATGCCACTTGTCCAGGTATGTGCATTCACTCTTATTGCATACACAACAACGAGAATACAGGAATTCAGATGAACTATTAAGCTTTGTTATAAATTAGATGAAATGTTCAGCAGTGATCATTTAGCATATGCGAAACATTTTACAGAACAGAACAACTTGTATGCTTCAGTTTACTGGTTAATACTTGATGATTGTCCACAGCAGTATGATGATGATGATAACAGAAAAAGGGAGAAATTGGAATTGGTCATGCCTAGGTTGTAGAAGTGAGAGAAGGCTGAAAGCGCCTGGGTAAGTGGGCGAAAAATTGCTCTTACCCAGTCTGCAAAGTCTCTTACCCCAATCAATTCCCCATGTATCTCAGCTGCAGAGACACAATCCAGAGCCCAGTGAAACTACCAGAAAGATTCTTACTGACTTTGGTGGATTTCAGACCAGTCCAAGTTCCAAACCTGGGGGTTTTGAAATCCTTCCTGCCAAGATGATAAGACCCCCTTAATCCCTGTTTATCTCAGTATTTCATATGATCCAGTCCTGAATTCATAAATGACCAGTGGCTTAAGTGGTAATAGATACATTGAGAATGAAAAATAATTCCTTTGTGTATTTGTATTCCTAGGGAAAGATGTAGGTCTTGAAAGCACCCAGCAGCTTCTCACTGATCATGCAGCAGGCTTTGGAAACGACACCATAAGCCTACCTGAAAGTTCTGTTCCATCTGAAAATATGTCTTCCTTTCTCTTTTCTGTGCATCTTGAAGGAGCTATTCCATTGAACCTGAGCTCTCTGACTGAATGTACTGAGTGATTTAGCTTTTTCAAGAAAGTAGTGCCTCCCGCCTCCCCCAACAAAAGATTTACAAGTTTGAATGTAAAGAAACAAAAGTGACTCAGAAACCCATGGAAGAGTTATTCTGGCTGTTTCTTTTTGAACTTATGGGATAGTCTGTCAGCTTAGTTGTTAGCAATGCCCATACTGCACCTGTTCTCCAGTGTTTGCCCAGTGCAAAATTTACAAAGTGTTGTTGTCTTCCAAAAAACAAAATTCAACCTTTTCTCTCTCGTGTAAGAAGCAAGGTTTGTTATTTTCTTTATCCACAAAGCAATTAATTTTGTTTAAGCATTCACATGGTTAATTCCTCTGGGAAAAGCTTTTAAGAATCAAACAGTGGAGTAGATGGCAAGGTTGTGTCATGTATGTTAAAACATAAATGAGCTTTTATTAGTGTTCACTAAAGGAAGACCCATGGTTTTCAAGTGGATTAGCAAGACAGTGTATGGATGTGAGGGGAATTTTGAGGGTCTA